CCCCAAAACCCCAAAACCCCAAAACCCCAAAACCCCTACTAAAAATAATATATAGAACTCTAAAATAAAACAGCTGAAATGTTCAAGGAAGCAGAAAGATCAAGTATTTCATTTAGGTTAGAAGAGGTTACGATTAAAACCCTGTTGGCCAGCAAGACCAGCAAGTCTGGATATGCAAGAATCTGGTCTTTATTCCAGCCTAGCTTGCTTAGTAACCACTATAATTACTCTTCCTCTTCTTCTTGTGATGGCTGACATTGACACTTCTAAAGACATTGGATGGCCGATTCTTAGATGCTATTCAGTCAAAATTATTTGGAACTTACTCTTAACGTTAGGAAAGTGAGTTGCGATATTGATGTATTCCATGTCATCTACAGATAAGACTGCAAATCTACCATTGGTCAGGAAATCTGCATGTGGGGTTACTATTTCAGGCCTATAAGGGGTTATAATGCCGCTTACGATAGCTCCTTCTCGTTCCATCTGGGTATCTGTGAATGCTACACAATTAAGTTTTACATGAATAATGGTTATGATAGCTTTGATCACTTTTAAAGACTAGGTGAATAACCTTATTAATATATCGGCATATATTTCCTAATTTATAAGAAGAAATGCTAATGCCAACGACAACATCTTTGGCTATAAATGCAAGATTTCGATAAGAAATTCCCAGAAAGGCTTGTAGCCACTCTATTAGGTGACCAAATCTCTTTACGAATGAGCTAAGTTTTCTAAAGAACCAAAGAGCTAACCAAAATTTTTCCAAATTCTAGTAATTAGATTCCTCATGATCAATATTAAGCTGCAAGTCCAGGTTAATTATTATAGAGAAGTCCTGCTTCCCTACCAGAAACTTACCTTGATATGAGGTTGATTTGAAGAGACTCTATAAGGTTATTCCAAAGCCCTACCGCTTTGTGAAAAAGCGCTTGCCTCTAAAATGGCTGGTCTTGGCCATCCTCTTAGGTGAATTGGGCTTGGGCTTATCACTCTCCCAATTAGCCAACATTTTCTTCAACTTCTGGTTGTACTTAAGCATTTTGGCTCGGTCTTTATTTCTCCTTGAGAATCATTATTTTTCTCAACTTGTGCTCTTCCTCAATCTTTTCCTTTTCTTTCCGAATCTTCTCCTGCTTGTACTTGAGAAGCTTCTCAAGAAGCTTGACTTTGTGCCTAGCTTCCTGCTCGGAATTCTTTCTCTTCAAGTGATTGGTGCCTAGACGATATGAGGGAAAAAATACCTTTGGAGGACCTCCGAATGTCCTGCTTTCTCTATGCAGTTAGTAGCATGCACATACCCATTTGTACAAGCTGTTCTTCCCTCTAACACGGACTGTCCGCATCAGTTCCTTCTTGAGGACTGGGCTCTTGGTGATATCTTTTTGCTCTTTTTCTTCTAGGAAACACTTACTTTAGGCCAAATTAATAATTTGCCAAAAAGGAAATTTCTCGAAATGGTCAATGATGCAAAGTTTATGAAAAGGGTACCTTCAGAATAGTTTTCCTCCTCCTTAAATTCCTCATTCAGTGTCTCTGGAGGTTGTACATTTTCCTCTCGTTTCACACTTTGAGAGCTTAACTCTACTAAAATGAGCTGGAAAGATTACTAGATCTTGGCTTTTGAACGGGAGATCCTTCTCTTTTAACAGGAGATCCTTCTCTTTTAACAGGTATTTCCTCAGGCTGCTAAATATTTTCAATAGAGAATACTTCTTTAGTAAAGTGCTTTCATGGAAACTTCAAAGTGCATAACTTGCATCTTCCTTTCTTGCTGAAGATTAAGCCAGGGATTACTTAAATTTACTAGCTGCAACTTGTAGCTCTATAAAAATCGTTAAATTTTGATAATTTTTGGCTGTAAATTACCTCTTTTCCGCTCATTTTCAATTTTCTCCCTAACTACTGGACTGAACTTAGCCAGCATATTTTCAAAAATTGATTTTTGTTTTGTCTATATACAAACTTTCAGCAAGATTATAGGATGTTGAAACAATGAGTGCACACTAAGCCTCAGAGGTTTAAATAATAAATTCTAATGAAATAGAGTTAAATTTGGTTAGCTTACATCTTCAGACTCTTGCTTTGTGTCTTCATCAACTTCTCCACTAGAACTCATTTTTAATAAATATAAAATAATTCTTCAAATTTAGTTTAATTGAAAGGGGTTTTGGGGTTTTGGGGTTTTGGGGTTTTGGGG